AAGAGGCCAAATTCTGAGAAGGCAGGCTCACCAGGGGAGACCACATTTCCCACACGTGGCTTTCTCCCCAGGACTCATCTCCTGGTGCGGTGGCGCAGGATGTGGAGAAGCTGGGTGGAGAGCAGGTTGATGCAAAAACTGGAGTTTTTTTGGGGCAGCCAAAGAGTCCTATTAAATAGGAGAGGCTAAGGCTTCAGAGGACACAAATGATGGGGAAGTGAGCCAAACAACAGTGGTTTCCCTCAATGCATTTAGTGACCACATAGAGCACTGAGCTGCAGAGAGAAGAGGTTAAAAAGCAGTTGTAAAAATGGTTTAAAAAGAGCAGACTTTTCATCCATTTATTGTGCCAGAAACACAAAAATTAGAGTTTAGGACCTTTTTGGAGTGGAAGCATCCCAGGGCCTCCGTTGAGATCCTTGGGGAGCCATCCCCAAGAAGAAGGGGAAACAGAGCCCAACCGAGCCTCAGCAAAACTAGAGACCAGCCGCATGCCCGCTCCGACCTCCAGACAGAGAGGGAAGATCCCCTGAAGCCTCTGTAGGTTTTTGTACACAATCAAAATTACCAGGAGTACCAAAAACTAGGGCCAAGCAATAAAACAGACAATAGAAATGATACCACAGATACTGCAGCTATCAGCCATGAATTTAATGATTAATGTGTTCGAGGAAAATAGATTGTAAGAGGGAGAATTTCACCAGAGAATTGACATCTATTAGAGACAATCAAATTAAAATTTTAGAAATGAAAAATAAAGTAATTGAGAAAACTTCTGAAACTGAATCTTCAATATTAGTATCAATAAAAGCAGAAAAGTGGAGTGGAGGAGAACAAGAAGAAGAAATTGTCATTTTCCTCTTTTTCACTGATCGTTAAATGAATATTTGGGAAAAAGTCATAATCTGATCAGGCTTTAGCTTTATGATCAAAATCGCAATAACAATTTACATCCTTAAATCCTGTACACATCTCTAAATTGTGCCTTTTTCCCATCATAGGTTCTTTAATTTGATTGTTTTAGTCTCTCTCATATTCATCCCTTTTTATTATTATTGCCAATTCAATTCCCGATATCCACTTACACAGTCTTTTCTCTACTTTTAAATTGCTTCTATTTTTTTATGAGGTCCACTTTGAAGCACTTTAAATGCTCTTGAAACTGTGTAGTTTGGTTTCACAGATTTAGTGGGTATATGTGATATATTCAGCAATGGGAGAAGAAGTCCTTTATCATTTTGACTTCCAAGCAAAGTGCTCAGAGCGCAAAGGTTAAAAGCACTCATCCTTCAAGAAGCAGCGCTGCACAGAAAACTTTAGGGCAGTGAAACTATTCTGTATGATCCCATGATGGTGGACACACGTCATTATACATTTGTTCAAACCCTAGATGGACAACACAAGAGTGAACCCTAATGTAAACTACGGATTTGGGGGTGACAATGTGTCAATGTAGCTTCATCAGTTGTAACAAATCTACCACTCAGGTGCGAAAAGTTCATAATGGGGGGATTATGCATGTATGGGAGCAGAGGGTATATGGGAAATCTCTCTACTTTCCTCTCAATTTTGCTGTGAATCTAAAACTGCTCTGAGAAAACAGTCTTTAAAAAATAAAAATTTAGAGCCAGCCCCGATAGTCTAGCAGTGAAAGTTCTGCGCTCTCACTGCTTCAGCAGCCCAAGTTCGCTTTCGGGTCATGGAACCACACCACCCGTCTGTCAGCTGCCATGCTGTGGGGGCGGCTCACACAGAAGAACTAGAAGGACTTACAACTAGGATTTACAACCATGCACTGGGGCTTTGGGGAGAAAACAAAAAAAAAAAAAGAGGAAGATTGGCAACAGATGTTAGCTCAGAGTGAATCCTTCCCTGCAAAAACCAACAATAATAACAAGCAAAACAAGTAAAATAAATGTTTAAATTAAAAACAAAGCAGCAACTTGGAAGCCTCTGCCTCATGAAGCCTTTGAAACCTCCCTCAGGGTGGTTGGCTAGTACCTCCTCTGGGTTGCTCGGCATGGCATCCATCTCTGCTCTGGCCCCCTGTGTACCATGACGGTTTGTTTACAGATCTGGAGTTGCTCCCCCAGAGCAAGAAGTGGGACTTCGTTCATCTTTGTCTGACCCACATCCAGCATGGAGCATGACATACAGTGGTCGTATGGCAAATGTTAACTGAATGAACAAAGACAGAAATAGGGAAATTCGCCCCCATAGAACATACACAGCAATTAACTATTTAGATATGTGTATGTGTGCATCTAGATCTAGATCAACTTTTTTTTAACAAACCCTTGCCTTCCCCTATGCTTTGCTTAGCTGAGGTAAGTTAGCAGCACATTATCTCTTCCTCATGGAAGTAGACATGGGAACAGCCTAGAAAACAAGCTCTGCTGAGAACTGACTATAAACGTGTCACCATTTCCAGAGTAAAGCATCTCCTCTCATTCAGCTTGCCCATTGTTGCCTGGATAGTGGCTTCAGTTTCACAAGATAAAAGGCAACCAACATTTATTGGTCCACCCTCTTATTAAAATACAGATGCATCCTAGGAAGAAAAAAAATTGGATCAAATGAATTTTCAAGATATTTAGGGCAATTTTTTTCTTTTTTTTTTTTCGTTGAGGAAGATTCGCCCTGAGCTAACATCTGTGCCAATCTTCCTCTATATTGTATGTATGTGGGTCGCCACCACAGCACGGCTGACGGGTGGTGTAGGTCCATGCCTGGGATCTGAACCCAGGCCACCGAAGCGGAGCACACTGAACTTAACCACTAGGCCATGGGGCTGGCCCCCCAGGGCAATTATTTTTAATGAAGGGTTAATTGGAAAAGATTTCTACTCAATCCCAGCTGTTAAAAGTCTAACACTGATAATTGGTTCAATCTGCCTCAAGACATACACAACACTGATGCTCATGCATTTTTCTCAGGGGATGGAAGTCTTACAATGCCTCAGACCATTTTGATTAAGAACATTCTCCACCCTTTAATGGAGGGGTCAGAGCTAATGATTTTAAATCATGATTTTAAGTCATAATTTCAGCTCTGTGTCATAAGGGAGAAAGAGGATCTGACTAGAGATCTTGCTGAAATTGAACTAATCTCATGAAATCTGACCTGCACATATCTAAGATGGAGGTGGGTTTGCACACTTTCCAAGTGCTGGGATCAGTCTGGGGCAAATCCAAGGATGATGCCTGACTATTCAGCAAGGCTTCAAGTTCTCAGTCCCTGGCAGGTCCAGGGTGCTGCCCAGCTGCACCCACCCCCTTGGCATTTGAACTTCACATCAATCCTCACGCCCCAGCTGCACCACACATCCTGCCATCCTTCCTTTTCTCAGAGATCTTGCCACACTGTTCCACCTGGCAAACTCCTGCCTATAGGTCAAGTTTCAGACTGAGAAGACCTCATCAGAGAATATTCCAATTGCTGCTGACCTTCCCAAGGAGGGTGCCTGCCATCAGCAGTCTTCATCACCTGGTGGATAACTGTCACTTACTTAGCCTCCTCCTCCGCAGTCTATGATTAACACGCAGAAATTTCCATTTGTTCCAATAGCCAAGCTTAATACAGGGCACAAAGTAGATTTCAAAGTTATAGGAGTTCATGAAAATCCCTAGATATACGAATGCAAGCACCTGTTCCTAAAATAATTTTGTAACTATATATCTAAAGAGGCACTTCTTTTTTAGCGTTAGACTTAAATTAACGTTAGAGATAAAGGTGCTGAATTAAGTGTTGCGGAACAAATGTAAGAAAATAAAACTACAGAATAAGAAACAAATAAACTAACAAGTGATTACTCTCTTTTTGCCCTCAGCTGAATCATTATTTATCAGGGAAAGGGAATATTGCATTTATCATTTACATTTTACTACCTGCAGCCCATAGGTCATGTAAAGGGAATTCCCTTTTATCCATTTCACCTCTTAGCTAGTGCCCCATATGCAGTTTGTGGAGGACCTGGGGGAATTTTTTAAGTGAGTCACCCATAAATATAATTTTACCCCTCCATGGAAACTTTATATCATCAGAGAAAAGATGAACACTTTTAAAATCTGGCAATGAAAAGAAATGATTTTGCTACTAATTTTGGAGGGATTATTTCCATCCACAGAACATTGCAATGAAAGGAAGGCATCTAAGTCAGCATTTTGGCAATCCCCCATCCTCAGCATCACACGTCCCCCAAAGCAGGAGCAAACACGCAGCTGTGGGCACAAACAAGGCCCCAACCAGAGGAGTTCCTGACACCACTGGGTCCACAAAGGCACGTGCTGCTCCTGGAACCCTGCACACTGCACGTAGGGAGGCCCGTTTCCTGACAGGACATGTCTACACTAACGTACTCCAACACTCCAGCACTTTCCTAATGGCTAAAACTAAAAAACAGGGAAGGACTTCTACATGCAAACAGTTACTTCAGGAGCTCATTTTGCTTTTAAGTCTGTGGAAATACCCTACTGGGGAAATCATATATTTGGTCCCATACTTTCTCCCATAAAAAAAAAAAAAAAGACAGTTTATTTACCCTCACTCTTCAAACTGAAACAGAAGTATAAACTGGGTAACCTCAGATCCTTTCCTGAGAAACACTAAAAGTCAGGTCTCTTGGATCATGAAAAAATGAACTAAAAGTCAAAAAACTGTCATTTACATTCATCCCTAGGATTAACGAGGTCAGATATAGCCAATAATGCATAATTACAAACAATCCCATCTGAAAATCTATATGCAGTAGATTCGTGTGTGGAGACGAAGGGCCAGACACTTCTTAATCATGAGAGCAATGCTTCACTGCAGTGTCACAAGCTCAGCCTCCTGACTTTTACCATTTTCAATATTTAAACTACCAAGAAATGCTACAGATTTAAGAAGCCAATTGTGAGTTTTAAACCTGCATGATAAATCTCAAACAGAAATCCACAATGAGACTGTAAGCAAGAACTGATGCAAAGCCCATCAGATTAGAAAAGAAAATAGTTTCTTACCATGTTTATTGAGGACACAGGACCAATGCTGTTAACATAGATGTCAACATCAATTACGGTCGGTTTTACTGTGGAGAGAAATACATGTATTAATACTATGTGCCAGAGAGACCGAGGAAAGCACTATTCAACTGCCTTTGACTCATGCACTAACACCTCAAAGATATGTTGGAAGGGGGTGGATTTTTCTTTGAGATTTGTCTTGTAACTACAATTCAGACCCTGCCTGTCTTTCCTTTTAAAATTCTCAAAGGATGAGAGATTTGTATTTGTTTTTAAAAGATTCTAGGAAATCAAGATATTTATACACTGCAAGTTGCCAGTGATAGATGACTATAGATAGTCTGTAACATGAGTTACACTGATTATATGGCAAAAAAAACATAAAAAGATGAAATATAAGATACTGCATAAGTAATTTAACGTCAACGTTTTGCTGTGAAGCCAAACCCAAGTGATGGGCAATATCAGAGATGCACTCAGATTATTTATCCATCACATGGCTGCCTAGCTATCATCCCAAAGCACAGCAACTCAAAACCAAGATCTAGAGAGTAGTACAAACATCAAAGGGGAATAAAAAATATTGTATATTGTTATTATTATGACTTAAAGACACATACACACATTTATCATAGTCTTAAAATCCTACAATTCAAAAAAGAGTAACACTTTAGTGAGTCAAGGAATTATAGTTAGAACTATGAGTGCATAAAATTTATATAATTAGAAACTGTAATATTTAACATTGTGCATCAGAGGTTAAATTGTCTCGTTTTGCCTTAAAGAAAACTAATTTCTGTTCCCTTGGCAGCACTGGAATTTGGGAAACCAGTAATGAGGATGCTGAGATGAACAACCTCTGAGTCAGGGGCCCATGTCCTCTGAAAGGGAGAAGGCTCCCTTTCCTCAGTACTCAGCAACTGATAAAGGGGAGGACAGCACCAATTTCAGAATATTTCTGCCCAGGAGGAACATGAACAAGACTCCTGAACCTTTGCACATGAAATGGATTGTTTCCATGGAAACAAGAATGTTTGTATCTACAATTATTTCAATGAGCTTCCTTCAGTTTCGCTAAATAATCACTCACAAATGGATTTCTGCACTCTATTTTGGAATGACGAGTGGCACTTCTGAGCTCACAGTCCCTTGTTAAGTTGCATATGCAGCAGTCTGTAGCCTGAACCATGTTTTCCAGACCTCCATGAAAATGAAAACAATGATTATCATTTTGAACCAACAACTCCAACATCTGTCAGTACAACCAAGTCACGCTAGCTTCAAAGGGCTGTTGGCATTTTGGAAAACACCCCAAGCCAATTCCATGCACTATGTATATAGTGCTTAAATTTCATAAACGGACTATTCTTCATTTTAGGCTGAGCTTTACTAACTACTATGAATAGGAAGAAGCATATTTCTTCAACTTAATTGGATTCGGCAAGTGTTCTGTCTCCCAACACTGTATAACCTTTGGTGATATCATATGAAAGGCTGCGGTAAGTCAGTCAATTGAGGACCTACTTTCTGCAAGAGACTTTTCTGGTTGTTTCACGGTATTTATTAAGCTTCCAGAGCTTTTAATCTCATTAAATAAAAAGGACATACAGACATAAAGCCTTAAGAACTTTAAGTGGGACGTGTCAAATGAGTATTAAGTGCAATAGTGCAATAAAGATTTTAAGAGATAAGAGTTTGGAATAAACACACACACATATGCACACACACGCACACAAAACCCGGGGGAAATGAACTGTTTTAAGCAAACACTCTTTTAAGCAGCCTGATGCTAAAGTAAAAGGAGCATTTAGGAAAGTGGCTCTAACAGTGGTACAAGGTACAAGTGTTACAAGCGGCTCAAGTTTTATAATTCAAAGATTCGAGAGTAAGCCCTGACAAATGATCGTCAACAAGGGTGTCAAGACCACTCATGGGAAAAAGGACAGTCTTCAACAAATGGTGCTGGGAAAACTGGACATCCACATGCAAAAGAATGAAGCCGGACCCTTACTTTACACCATATATAAAAATTAACTCAAAATGGATCAAACCTAAACATAAGAACTAAAAATATAAAACTCTTAGAAAAACACTTAGGGGGAAAGCTTCATGACATTGGATTTGGCCACAATTTCTTGGATATGACACCAAAAGGACAGGCAACAGAAGAAAAAAATAAATAAATTGGACTTCACCAAAATTATAACTCTGTGCATCAAAGGACACAATCAACAGAGTAGAAAGACAACACACAGAATGGGAGAAAATATTTGCAAATCATATATCTGATAAGTGGTTAACATCCAGAATATAAAAAGAACTCCTACAACTCAACAACAAATAAGCAAAGAACCTGATTTAAAAATGGGCAAAGGAGTTAGACATTTCTCCAAAGAAGATACACATATGACCAACAAGCGCATGAAAAGATGCTCAACATCATTAACCGTTAGGGAAACACAAATCAAAATCACAATGAGATACCACTTCACACCCATTATGATGGCTACCATTAAAAAAATAACAATAACAAGCGTTGGCAAAGACATGGAGAAACTAACACTTGTGCACTGTTGGTGAGAATATAAAATGATACAGCCACTTTGGAAAACAGTACGGCAGTTCCTCAAAAAATTAAACATAGAATTACCATATGATCCAGCAATTCCCCTTCTGGGTATATACTCAAAAGAATTAAAAGCAGGGATCCAAACATATACTTGTACATCCATGTTCATAGCAGCATTTTTCATAACAGCTGAAAGGTGGAAGCAACCCAAGTGCCCATGGAAAGATAAGTGGATAAACCAAATGTAGTATATACATATGGAATATTATTCAGAAGCCTTACAAACGAAGGAAATACTGACTGTGTTGTATTCTTTTAAGTGATGGTCAGTCAGGTGTGGCCACAAGAGGAGAGTCTCAGGAAAACAAGTTTATTATACTCACAGGTCCTAGAGACAGGAGGTTTGGCACGTCTTGCAGAGCCACTTGTGAAAGACACCAGGATGGTCAGGAATCAGAAGACAGGTCAAGGTCGGGGGCGGGGGTGGCACTTAGGCCATGATCTTAAGTGGAGTTTCTGAGGGAAAGGCACAGCAGGGCAGGGTAAACAGCTAGGATTGGCTAGTTTGAATAATTCTGTGGGCTTTGGGCTCTAGAGGTGGTCTCCAGCGGTGTGGTACCCAGCCCTGGGATGATTAAGGCATAAGAATACTGGCTCCTGGGGTGTATGGGCCAGACAGAGGAGGTATGGCTCTGGATTGGTTGGTTTGCATGTGAAAGGCATGCTCCTGGCTCGGCCCTTTGCTATCTCTAAGCTCTGGGAAGGGCAGTCTCTCCCTAGCCAGAAAGAGTTTTTAAGATATCAAAACATCATAATATACCAAAAATTTAAAATATACATATATGTATGTATATGTATATACAATACACTAACACATGCTACAACATGGATGAACCTGGAGGACATTATGCTAAGTGAAACAAGCCAGTCACAAAAAGACAGATACTGTATGATCCCACTTATATGAGGTAGCTAGAGTCGTCAAATTCATAGAGACGGAAAGTAGAATGGTAGGTGCCAGGGACTGGGAAGAGGAAAGAATGGGGTTTTGTTGTACAATGGGTACAGAGTTTCAGTTCTGAAAGATGAAGAGTTCTGGAGATGGATGTGGTGATGCTTGCACAAGAAGATGAATGTACTTAACACCACTGAACTGCACACTTAAAAATGGTTAAAATAGTGAATTTTATGTTATGCGTATTTTACCACAATAAAAAAAAATAAAAGAATAAGCTTTGGGTAGTTGGGAGAAGGATGAGGAGTTAGACAGAGGTAGAAAAGTCAGGAATAGGGAGCGAGGGGATGGTAATTTTCTGAGTGAGAGGGGGCAAATTCTATTGAGGTAGAATATAAAATAGGGCTGACGGAATTGGTCCCCATACATTTAGTTCAAAAATCGATTCACATTTCAATTTTCATTTGAATTCTACCTTATCTGCTTGGATGTCATTATTTCCTAAAAATTCAGAGTCAGTATGTTTGAGAAGAGTCATAAACTCATAAATTGTGCAGCGTAAATGAACATTGCAAAGATGCACTGATAAGCATCAACCACATTTGTTCCCTTGAAAGACTAAGGTGGCCCTAAGGGGAGTTATATTGACTGCACTTTCTCTTGCCTCCATCACAAAACCAATGCAAATACCCCTTTGGTTATTTTTCTCCACCTCATCCTAGAACAAGATTTGAGAACTATCTGAACTATTAGTCATAAGCTGAGGAAACGACCCAGACACATAGACAGGTGATGGCACCCATCAGAGTGGCCTTGTTGGGAGAAGAATGTAGGGCCAGGGTGGGTCTGTTCACTGATGGACCTAGAGGCACATGGCTGAACTTTGCTCTCCAAAATGCTGTTTAGAGCCTGGAGGTAAACAGATTCTTTGTCGGGTTTATTGCAGACACAAAAGGAATCCTGTCATGAGAAAAAGTAAATAAATTATATTTTAATGAAAGAAAGTTCCTGATGTCGATCTCTTAGGGGGTTGGCATCCAAAACCACATTTAATATAGTATGAGGTTCCTGTTAAACCAAACTTCATCCCCTCTTGTGAAAAGAAAAATAAATCAATTTTTATTTCCAAAATGCCAAACAAGTTATGTTAAGGGGCCCCATTTAGGTGTCATAAACAGGTACTTCCTAGCACATGTCTTAAATGCCAACTCTGAATAAAACAGGCAATAAAAACATTTTTGTGTTACCTGCCACCAGTTCACAGTTTCTCAATTTGATAGAATTTAAATCTTAACAAATATTTTTCATTTTTCTGCCTGACCAAGTTTAGTGGTTACTTTTTGGCCCTGGCCCCCAAGAGGTGGGCACCAATGTCACTCAATGAATCAAGTATGTCACACCCCTCAAAACAAGGTCGACTCTGAGCTTCTCTCCTAACAAGGAAAGTGGCAGCCTGGCTGATCTGACTCAAGATCTTCTCTTAACTTTCCCAAGGTGAAATGGAAAGTTATATCCAGCTGGCTTCTCAAAACTCCCAGAAG